ATCCATGGGGGAAGCGGAGGGAGGCCGATGAACCTTTGGAAGCAGACGGCCGAGCGACGATGATGGAAACGAATCCAAATATAAACCATGGCGAAGAGCGACGATGCGAGTGGATACGGTTATTTCGGATAATTGATTTGCGGTGACGGGTTCGACTGAGTCGAAGGCGCGAAGGGCTCTTCACATGATATGATCGGATGTGATGTGTGACTACCACTCCGACGTCTACTATTATACACTATGGGGCAAAAAAGGGACTGTTGAGGAAACAGTGCAACGAAACAGAACGGCCTTTCATAATTTATGAATGGGTGGGTGTGTGGTGTGGGGTACTACAAGGAAGATTACTATTATTCACCTAGGCTTTTTATAAAGTGTATCATCAATATCATCATTCATTCAATTGGGGCGAGAGAAAGATGATGTTCGTGTTGATTGATGGATGAATGAATAGTTTTTCCTTTTCCCCTCTTTTCTCTTCTCTTTTGGCTGTGGAGGAGGGGGCGCATTGTTTATTTCACCTCCTAGGTCCTCGTTCTCTCACATGCCAGCCTATCGGATAGCCCAGAAAGGAAGTAGAGTGCCTTCATGGCAGATAAGAAAGCCCCGGGTAGTTTATCTCGCACGATGTTTGAATTCAAATTCTGTCATACGTCGATTCGCTGGAGAGGACAGGGTTGGCAAATGGGATTATAGACCATCGAAAGGGTGTTCTAACGCTTAGCACAGCAGAGGGAGCAGATGAAGAAACTGGAGACGAGGATCGGATGATATTTGAGGTGCTGCCGGTGCTAGTGTAGTTGAGGTGCACGCGCTGATGAGCTTGCACATCGTTGGAATTGTTCTCGTCTTCAGGAGATGTGAGAGAGGTCTGTGAAGCTGGAGATGTTTTCGGTGTTTTGTCATCGTTGTGGGCCCACCCCCCGGGTGGCGATATGACACAGATAAGCACCCCACTGGCTGGGCTACAGCAAGTTTATAATAATCTATGGATGTGTGCATTAAATTCACAAGTAGTGCCACCGTACACTGGAAAACAGTTAATTTAGCACTCACCCACATGTACATAATATTCTCCCGGAGTTGACAAAAAATATATAGTCGATGTAATGTAAACTTTAACAAACATGACACGAGATGACATGCCAGGCAGCGCTTTTGGATAAGACTTTTTCCATTTCACCCATGCCAACAATAACAACACTTGGCGATCAAACCCAGTCCTTGATTTTATGAGGGGCTAGAGTATATTATCCTTACGCAAGGTTTCGGAACCTGCGTCCATCCTCGGATCTCTGGGTGAGTGACAGTGATGCCTGCGATGCATCCATCCGTCCATCCACGAGACTGATTCGGTTCTTCTTGTGGGCGGACTGCTCCTCTTCCGTCCCTGAAACCATACTGACGTGAAAACGAGAGATAGAAAGAGAGGGAGGGAGGGAGGGAGGAAGATTGTCAACAGTAGTTAAGAGAATCTTCGATCCAGGATAGCTTTAACCCAATTCTTTAAGACTGGCTGAAAAGAGATGGGGGCCACAGTGATACATATCCATTGTGCATCTTGGTGTGGCTAGAACTTCGAGGAGAATGCACTTTGGCTCCTCTCTAGGGCAATGAGCTCCTGCTGCTCCTTCAGAAGAGAAGAAGGAGCAGAAAATATCACAGAGTCGAAGAGGAATTTACAGGAAAGGTACTGTTACAACTTACAGAGGAGGCCTCGCACCAAGCACAAGTCGCTGCCCACTCTACTGCCCGACCCGATCCGAGCCTGTCCGACTTTCGAGAGAGGTTCGGAGAGTGCCAGTCGGTGATCTCTGATCACAGAAACTTCCTCCGTCATTCCGTCTACGTCCGTTGAGGTGAGTTCGTCCGTCCGTCCGACCACCCGTCCGCCCGTCGGTCGGAGGTTGTTTGCAAAAGAGAGCCTAGAGCTAGCTCCAATGGTAGACACAGAACGTAGATGTAAGCACCCGCCGTGAAGATGTTGGGAATATGTCCTTTGCACGTTCAGACAGGGTCACGGCCAACGAACTGAATGTAACGTTACAGTGTAGTTTAATCCGACCCCATGGCTTTCCTTTTCTTCGCTTTCGTTTCCGTTTTACCTGACGCTTGGCGGTTTGTTTTCGTACCTGCGGCGGGGGACGAGAAAGTAGTGCCGTAGCTAAAATCTACTCGGTACTGGAGGGCCGAGAAGGCTTGCCAATGTCTACTTGCAAATCCCGACCTTGAGAGCAGAGATGGGCTGTATCATGGCCGCTGCAGGTCATGCTATGGCAGTCGGTCCTATGCGCGGTATGGAGCCGTTAGAGGACTGACCGTTGCACTGACTGCCCGTCGCCGGCGCTGACCATGCATAGCGGGGATGAGTGACCGACAGTACGCGGTGGACCCAATATACATGACCGTTGAACAGCCACGGGGAACTTGAAAATATTCGTCATGCTCCTGAAGAGGACTAAACTTCTTCTCAAATCCTCACATCCCTGGAGTTAAAAAGGGCAGCATCAAAGTCTGGAGTGGCAGCTGCCGGTTGAGTGTATGTGTGTGATGGCTGGTCCACTGAACCTTCTCACAAGTATGTGACCTAACCAAGTAGAGAGTGGACGTGACTGGAATCCAGTCGAATACAGAACAGGAATCAGTGAGAACCAGCGTTAGAACGATGCAGAGCCGCCAAAACCACGCCTCGAACAACAACCCCCAGAACAGCCAGACCCACTAAATAAATCCCGGAAATTCCCACGATCTCGACGATGGCAGATCCCGGCGAAATCCATGCTCGTCCATCGACCTCAAGCGCTGGCCGCTGTGTTCCTAATCTCCATAAAAATGACGAGCTCGCGCTGTCACACTCCCTCGATGTCTTGCAATCAAAACGTAGGGCATCTTGAATCCCCAAGCGAAATCCGGATCTCGTATCCTCTTCTGTATAGAGATATCATCGTCGCGATCTTTCAATGTCGGTCGTAGCGTGGACGTGCCATCAGCACATTTCAGAATCTGCGGCCGAAAAGGCTCGTAGTTGGTGTCTTGGTGTCCGTCCAACTATGAGTCTTGTCTTTCGAATGGTAACTGCGTGTCAGGTTGTATACATATAATCTTGCCTTTTGGCAATACTGTATGATATTTTGTTCATTCCTGTCAAAACCAAGTATGTTTGCTATAGACTCCTTCCGTTATTTCGTAACAATGACATTGTACCATATCTTAAATCGAAAATAAATTGCGTCGGCTGTCCAGAGATTGCACCATATTTCACAACTGCTCCTGGCGATGGAGTGCAAATAATAGGGCTTTTCTGCCTATACGAGATGTATTATTTTCTTTTATCACACATTATTCATGTACGGTATACATAGTTTATATACCAATCTATATTTTTATATATACAATATACAATACCAATCACGGGACCTCACATGTTTGTAAATCATGATATGTAAAGTTAGAAAAAATAGAAAATTTCATCACTCCGCAATTGTTCATTGAGCAATTTCCATGAAGCCTTTTCAAGCGAACATCCAATGTGCCTTATATCCTAGGTTGAATCCACCTGATACACCATAATCTTCACTTTCATAAGCTTGGCGTATGACACCAGAGAGAATTACTGGAACTGAATAGAGCGTTAACCTTACAATTGATGATGCAACAGTATCTTGGAAAAGTTTTAAGAGTCACAATGACATTCTACCTGCCCATCCTGCAACTCCCCTTTGTTGGAAAGAGGATACATACATCACCATGTATAATACTGTATCGTATTGTACAAAGGGAACAAAAACGCCACCATTTCAAACTGTGCTGGCACCTTGCCACTCTTACACCTTGCTGGTATCACCGGCTTCAGCGATATTCCCAGTTACTGCCGGTTGCACGTGCGGTGAGTATGAATGTATATATTCTTTTAACTTTCGGGGTACGAAGAAGTAATATTGTCTTGACCGGGGTACGAGGAAGTATATCGTCCCACGAATATCCGGTGATGTGATTGTCTAAAACTCGGCGGGCCTGCAGGGTACAGGGGGGCGTTCCATATCCCAGGTCCTGATCATGGGGACGGATGGCATGGCCAAATGGGCTGGCCATGGAGATGGGTGCGTGACCACGTATCCAAAGAGGAGGTCGTGCTATTCTCTGATGCAGGTAATCGTACTGTAATTGTAAACTTATGGGGAGCCCGTTATTTCTATCGGCAGGGACAGTATGGATGATGATGATGATGGTAATGTGGAGCACGGAGGAATAACTGAGCCCGAGTGGGGCACAAAGTTCCGTCCACAGCATGGCCGTTCATAAGACGAAGGACGGAGATGTGAACTGGGGCCGGATGGGCTGGAATGGAACGGAGCTGAATGTCCTTTAAGAGGGTGTCAGTGCCACCCGTATAAGCGCACGCGCCTGAATCTGGCATCAATGAATGCTCTGCTCGTCTGCGGCCGTCTGCTCCTCCGTGTCCCGGCCCGGCCAGCCAGCCGGCAGGCCAGCAAGCCACCTGAGCGAGAGAGGGAAGGAAGACTGAAGGAAGGAAGGAGGGAAGGAGAGTCAAGGACATCGCCATCCGACCCAATCCCTTCCGCGGTCGACGTAGACGTCGAGCGTGCCTTTTTGACGATTCGCAGGATTTTGGTGCGATAGGGAGAGAATTGAATGATGCAGCGAAGCTTGTGACAGAAGGGCGTGCTCGTCGAGCCGCGCGACGAGACAGGCGCTGCACTAATTTTCTTCGCGCGATCAGTCGGTAGGAGTAGAAGTCCAGTCCGTCGTCAGTGAGGTTTGTGCACGGGAGGGGACGGGCGAGCGAGCGAGGGAGGAGAGGAGAGGAGAGAGGGGAGGGAAGCTGGAGGGTCCCACAGCATTCCACCACCAGTGCGCCACCACCATCACAGCAGCAGCTGCACAGTTGGATTGGAGAGAAACTTGGGTAACTGGGGCAAAGTAGTAGGGGGAGGGTGGGAGGGAGGAGAAGGAAGGAAGGAATGAAGGAGAGAGAAGATGAAATGAGAGCGCAGCTTTGCGGGAGAGCGAGAGAGGGACTCGAGAGTTAGCACCGACCGAGTGGATGAGCGATGAGCGAGCGTTCGCGCTACACCAAGCTGCGAGCCGAGAGCTCTCTTGGGAAAGTGGGGGGAGGCGGGGGTGAGGTGGAGAGGAGAGAGGGCGCGAGGTGAAGAAGAGAAGGTTTTGAGTGGGGGGGTCGGGGTGAGAGAGAGAGAGAGAGAGGCTATGGCGTCAGGGCAGGAAGGTCGAGCAGTGGGCCCGGCATGTTTCCAATGGCCGCTCTCTTATATTGGAAGCCCACCGTTTTGCCGTATATTGCCCCGCCTCGCTGCTCCCGCGTATGCTTTTCTCCCTCGCGTTTTGCGGTTGCGTGCTGCTATGGAAGTGGAGTAATTTGCTGTTGCCCCGACCCCACCGGGGCTCGAGTGAGGTAGGCGACCGCCTTCGCTTCACTGCCTGCGTGAGGCTCACGACACGAGACTCTCTCCTCAACCCTTTCCCTCTGCCACCTCGTCCTTCCTCTCGTTCACTCCTCATGCTCTGGTTCCTGAAGCATTTACCGTTCAGCCTCCGATCTTTTGATTTCTCGGCAAAACCGTCGCCAGCGACACTGACTCGGGCCTTACGGAAGATGAAGAAGGGCCATGGTTGTGGCGGGGTAACAGATGATGCTTGAGCTGCGGCATCAGGTCAAGTCTCTGGAAGCGCAAGGAGCCCGCGAGGGCAAGCTGGCGGATTATGTGCGTAGTATGATCTCGCACAGCAAGCAGCAGTGGCAATCTGAGTGGGGTGGTGGATGAGTAGGTGAGTTAATCGCACACCATCATATCATCGTCTTCGACTGACATTACTTAGCGTTCATTACTCTACTCTACTCTTGGTCGATTGTGTCACCATGGAGCGCACTGGAGTTGCTCTGGGTACACAGGAAGGGGGGTGAGGGAGGGAGTGGAATGGGAAGAAGCAGGGGGGTGACGGGCAGCGTGCAATGAAACACTGGATAGCTGATGGGTGTGTGTGCCCCCTTGCCTGGCTGCCTGCGCATGCCCGCGCCCTTCCTGTCTTCTTCTCTTCTTCTTCTCTTGCACTCAAAGCCAGGACTGATTTCGGCAAGTATCACTTCCCCATCTACGATATGTGTTGTTGTCGTCATCGTCGTTTTCTCGTCACAGCACGATCATTCCCATCAGCAGCAGCAGCAGCATCGACGTACCCTCAGCGAGAAGGTAGTAGGTTTTAGTCATCTGACTGTTTTTTCCGTAAGGTTATGTCGATCCACTTTAGTCTTAGACCGAGCGAAGTCATTGAGCTCAAGCAAGCAGCAGCGGCTTACAATAGATAGGTCCAGTAGGTACATGGATTCAGGAGGGCATGGCCACTCAAAATCCGACTCGCAGCGGGACTCGGGGGGTGGCGCAGGAGGTAGTTCCGACACAAGTCCTCATGGCATGCCATCGCAATTGGTCTCTTACCAGCAACAGCAAGCCGAAGCGCGGGGTTTAGTTGGCTACGGTCCTTCTCGTGGCGTTTTAGATCAACAGCAGCAACAGGGTTCTCATCTCAATGCAGGGGCGATTGCACAAGCCATGGCAGCCATGGGGGGTGCAGGAATAGGAGGAGCCGGTCACGGGCCCTCCCAGGTTGATCCGTCTCTAGGGATGGGGGGAATGGGACAAGAATACGGAGAGCAACAAATGACCGGCTTGCAAATGCAACGCGGTGGTGGTAGCGGTGGTGGAGGTGGGGGCGCCAGTGGCAGTGGAAGCCAGCAACAACAGCAGCAGCAACAACAGCAGCAACAGCAGCAGCAGCAGGAGGCACAGCAGGGAAGTATGGTTCCCAGTGGAGGCGGCCAAGAAATACAGCAGCCCCCGAAGAAGGCCCCTCCCAAACGATCGTCTACGAAAGACAGGCACACGAAGGTCGATGGAAGGGGCAGGAGGATTCGAATGCCTGCCTCGTGCGCCGCCCGGATTTTCCAGCTGACTCGGGAATTGGCTCACAAGTCGGACGGAGAGACCATAGAATGGTTGCTGCAGCAGGCAGAACCTGCCATAATAGCAGCGACCGGAACCGGGACGGTGCCGGCGCTCGCGTCGTCGCTCCAAGGGGCGCTGCGAAGCTCATCGGGCATGGCGGCAGCAGCTGCCGGGGGGCGGCCGGGGACTCTGCACGGGTCCATGGGTTTAGCCGGGTTAGGGCCGTCGCAGGCAGATCTGGACAGCCAGCGGATGCAGGAGCAGCAGGTGCGCGTTGCTCAGAGCCAACGAGAGTGGGATGCAGGAGCGGAGGAGAGAGTGATGCAACAAAATCGGGCGGCCATGGAAGAGAATCGCCGGCTGAGTATGGGCCACGGCGGGCATGGAGGCCACGGCGAAATGTCGCACGACGTGATGGCGGGGTTCCAGCACGAGGGCCTCGTCGGGGAGGAGGGGATGGGCGTAGGAGACTCGGCCGATAGCAAGGGCGGAATCAGGAAGCGCGCGCGCCCGGGCTCCAGCGGCGGGCCTCTGGCCAGGTTTAAGGAGGATCCGGAGCCCGTGAGGCCGGTGCGCGCCACGGCGTCGCGGCAGGGCGGAATGCAGCAGGGCCCCGGCGGCTCCAATTTGATGTCCACAATGTGGGCGGTGGGACCTGCCGTCGCGGGCGTGTCGAGCAGCGGCGGCATGCCAGGCACGATTTGGATGCTCCCGGTCAGTGGTTCTTCCACGCCCGGAGTGATGGCAGGCCCCGGGAACGAGCAGATTTGGACCTTCCCGTCGGCAGGCCAGGCCGGCACAATGTACAGAATGGCGGCCCCGCCGACGTCCATTCAGCTCGGGCCGTCGGGCGGGGGCGGGAACCAGCCCTCGTCGAGCAACCCGATGATGCCCGTGCTGTCGAGCGGGGGCGTGGCGCTCATGCCGCGCATCAATCTGTCGGGCGGCATGGGGCTGGAGCTGCAGGGCGGGCACCTGGGCGGGCACATGCCGCTGGGCTCGATGCTGCTGCAGCCGGGGGCGCAAAATTTGCCCGGCACGGGCCTGGGGCTGGGCGGCGAAGGCAGCCACTTGGGCATGCTGGCGGCCCTGAACGCGTACAGCCAACGCAACGTGAATCCGGAGCAGCAGCACCACTCGATGGGAGGGTCCGGGCACCAGCAAGGCGACAGTGGCGACGATCCCACTAGCTCGCAGTAAGCTCGCGTTGCATGTCGAGAAGAGGCCATAGATCTCGGTTGGTTGATTTGATTGGTTAAATGATAAGCGTGGATATTATGAGTGCTAAGCTGCCAAGCCAAGCCAACACGAGCTGGCACATCCCAGCGCACCGCGGGTCGACGAATTTTTCTCTACACCCTGATCTCGGACCAACATCATGATCCGGAGGCTTTGTGGTCGACCGGGAGTGTTCTGCCTCCCACTTCATATGCCATGCCAGGTTGCGGTGATGGAGACGGCGGCTCTTCGCGCACATTGACTTTCTCAATATAAGCGAGAAATTGTATCTAACACTACCTAGGCAAACATGTTTGCCACTACACCCAAAATATTGACACTTTTTACACAAGCTCCCACCGACAGTCTTCCACTGCGGCGCATCCAGTCTAAAATGCACTTCGAGATCCAGTGTGCTGGAGCAAACAAGCTGAAGAAGCTTTTCGGGATTTCATGTGGGCAGAAGTCTGGCTTCCATCCACCCATTTCATGAGAGATTCAGAGATCAAGGAGAGTGCAATAGAGAAGTAGAGAGGACGAGAGGCACGGCGGGCAAATGTCTCCCCCACATCATACACACGACCATTCTTTGGATAGCCTTCAAGACGTGGAATAAGCGGCTGCATTGTCCTCTTCTGAGAGTTTACTCCTTTCCAATGTGATTACGGCAGGTGCGCACAGCCCTCTTTTGGGTTTCCGCCAGAGGCCTTGTTTTTTTAGCCCTGTGATTCTTCCTTGTATTGTAGGTGCTTCAATTCTTGTGCTAGCTTGCAGCTTTCGCCTCCTCCTCGCCTCCCTCCCCTTCCCACCACCACTCTTTCCCCGTCGCGCTTCACTTCACTCCTACATCTCATCTACTTGGCCAAGCTTCTTTAAATTAATTAAATTCATTGGCCCAAAGGGTCGAAAGGTTACTCAACTATAGGAAATGTGCTATCGTAGAAGTCATTCATTTATTGGCTCAGGTGAGGCCAACCCTTGCAGTCATTGTCTTAATAACATTTGACCTTCTGGCTTTTCACCGCACAGTCAGTCATATGGCCACCTTGTGATCAGCAAATCACTATCTATCTGTTACACACATGCGCGCACTCTCTCTTCTCTCCTCATCTTTCTTTTCTGTCTATCTCTCTCTGACCCTCTCCATCTCTGGCTGGCTACTAGCTGCTTGATGCATTTCGAAATTCGAATGATTGGTTTCCCTCTCGTCCAGGGTCTCCGGATTACCTCCCAGTGACTAGTCAGAAAAGGAAGACGTGTGTAGCAGATTTTAGATTTCGCTACCCTAGAGTGCTTTGCTGCTGGTTACAACAGCCAATGGGAAACATTTTGGCTTATCGAAGCGAGGAGCCAGCCAGGAGAGGTGTGAATTATTGTTTTGGAAATCGTGTGTGCTTTTGACCAGGTTACTATTTGGGCCTGCTTCACTTCGGTTTTGAGTTTTCGTAAAATCTTGGATTAGTGGGTGACTACTGCCCCGCTCTTACGCTGGCTGTTAGCGAGCGCGTGTGTGTAATTGTTGTATCTGATCTGACCATCGATGGACTCTCGTCATGGATCATCCTTCTCCTGCTCGTCAGTCGTCCTGGATCTTGTCACCAGCATCAGCATCATCCATCGCGTTCAATTGTAATTGTAATCCCGTCCCCAACCTCACGACATTTGTGACCGAGTGAGTTGTCTGTGTCTTGTGCATGGCCTGGCCGATGTCGAAGCAACCGACCCGCAAATCTGCCAGGATTTTGAAATTTTGAACAGCCGAGGGTGTTAGAATGTTTTGAATTTTTAATCTTGATGATCGCAGTCAACATCATTCCGGGTAAGTCGGCATTGCAATGCACCGCGTCCAACGAGAAGGAATCTCCTCGAGGATCGGGTCTCGCCGCCATTGGCCGACGCAAAGGGATCGTGCCTCTCTTCGACCCAGAACATACAATCCTGCCAAGGGAACACTGTCGAGTTCATTCAGCAAGAGACTGAAGTCGTCAGGCTGTCGGGTAAACGATTAAGCCCAGAACGCAATCGCAATCAACAGGCCTTCTCTCGCCCGTACACGTGGACCAACTGCTCACGTCGTCGCAAGTGTCGTGGACGAAGGAGATAAGTTGCTGCCTCGGGGATATGGTTCATTTTGAAGACAAAATGAGTGTTTTAACAGATTCCACGCGGTGCACGGAGGTGCCAAGTGCTGTGCAAGTTTACACATCTCCACCACGCGCACGAGGGAGCATAAGGATCAGGATGCCCGGGAGCTTTCGAAGTCCACAACTGGAAGATGTGATCTGTATCAAAAATTCCACACTAGTTCCACCACGACGAACCCGAAACCCCCAACTGGAAGTTCTGATCTGTACCAAAATCTCCACACTAGTTCCATCATGACGAATACGAAACCAGAATCTGTTCAATCGAGATGGAAGAGCTTTTCCTGTGGGGAAATTTGGGACAAGCAACCGCCCACCTTTACAACAATCAAGAGAAGGGTAAACATGGCCCTCCGAACAGTCGAGTCGTACCGGCACCGGCAGCCCAGTGGGCTGGATACATCAGCACGAACGTCGGCTGATTGACATGCAACGCTACTTCCCAGCTCCACAGCCTTGCCGGAGCACCACACAACCGCCATAGATCTTGATACCGTGATCCGAGCTGAGGTGGGAAAGTGATGGTCAGGTTCATGTATTCGAATCGACAGAAATCGAAATACTTAATTCTTTTACTCACCGTTTTAATACAGCGATGGAATGCAACTGTTGTCCCACTAGTCATGCTTACGTATCTGCGAAATCTACTCTGGATTCGTTCAGAGAATTACACTGCTCTCCCGGAAACTGGCCACAGTGATAGAGTGATATCCACGTTACTCCCACAGTCGGACTGTCAGAAGGTTTTTATCTAAGCAGCAGCTAGAGACACGATAATCAATACTTGTTGCATGACATTCTCAAACGCGTTAGTGCTACAATTAATTGGCGGTACAATCTTGAAGCAGGCCAGTTTCTCCCTGCGGAGTTTTTAATGTCTTGGCACAATAAATAGGCTGTTTTGAGTGGTAGGTCGAGATCCGTGTTGTTGATGGGTAGTGGCCTTGCAGTGAATGCGATTATTCTAAGCTCTACTACTGGAGCTGACGACCTCTCCGCAGGTCCTCGACGCATCAAATCCTTTCATCCACATCTGACGAAAGTTTGTTCTCTTTCCGAAGAGTATTACGTGTTGAGCTAGGTGTACTGCAGAACACATTAGCCCCAGCACCTTTTTCGTGATCATGTGTGTGCTCACGATATAGTCTTTGTTCGCAGATTCTTTATGTAAAAGGCTTCATTCATTGTACACAATTCTTGACAATCACCACCATCTATCGCCTGAAGCGTATATTATCTTCGAAAATTCCTTTTCTGACTGTCAATTTCACTCTGACCCTATTCTTTTCCTTCTATTTCACGATCGTCGGGGTTTTTTGCTCACGCTCATGTGCATCTCTTTATCGGTTTTAGGGTTGAGCAAGATAAGGATCCGTAGGACCCGTGTTCGAGTGCTGATCCTGCATGATGCTTCTCACCCCGCTGGTTCTGCAGTCATATGTCATATGAATTTATTGTGAATCTGGATCGCCATCTTCATCTCCGTCAATGGTCGCGGGATCGGTGTCTGCGCACTGCCGTGCAAATCGTATTTGCAACTCATTGGGTCCGGGCATGGGCGTGGGACCCTGATCTGAAAGTGAGAAGGTTGGATAGGTTACCGCCACAAACGCCCTGGTTATGGGAAGTGGACAGGACCGGACAAGGGAGTGCGGGAGGAAAAGTCCGGAAGGATCACAGAATGTGAATGTTGGGGGATGGGACGGCGGCAGCAGCAGAGAGAGAGGAGCAAAGGCGTGCGATGGGATGAATTCCACTTCTCTGTGATGGATGGTTCGGGCCTGCACGAGCCGAGCCGAGCCTAGCCGTGAATCCATCAGAGATAAAGCAGACGCAGGAGGCCAGCCCAGGCCAGGCCCCACATCGCCTCCCGAGAATACTAAGACGACGACGGATGACATCGAATCGCATCGTGTGGATTCCTCATCGATGTCATCGCATAGGTCCTACTGGAGGAGCAGCAGCAGCAGCTGCTGCTGCTGCAAAGAGTTTACTCATGAGCTTGTACAGTACAGGCCAGGCCAGTCGAGACTCAGCAACAGTATAGGGAGAAACTAGAATTCCAGTTTCTATCTTCATCGCCTCCGGTCAAACCAGCCCAAAAAATCTACCAGGTAAGCAGCAGCGCGCAGAGAATCTACGATGTAGAAACAGACGAGACGAGAAAGACGAGACGAGCCAGCCGGCCCCGACTGGAGAGCGGAGACGAGCGGCGCTTTCTCCCAGGTCATCATCTTGAGAGAGAGGGCGAGCTGGGGACCTATTGCAGGAGAGAGAGAAATACACTCATTTTCTTTCTCTTTCTCTCTCTCTCTATCTCTCTCTCGTTCTCCGATCGTCGAGCGAAGCGAGAGTAGAGAGGAGGAGGAGGAGGAGGAGCAATAAGAGAATTGGGGCCCGCCAGGGGCCGGGGACAGTGCTCGCTGCTGCTGGTGCTGGTGCTGCAGGCCGTATAAAGCGCGCCCATGGAAAGTGCAAGTGTAGATAACGCAGGCCACGTCACAGATGTTATCGTCTTCAACGCATGACTGCTGCCCTGCCCACATGGGTGCCCACTGTAGTCGGGATCGCACAGGGCCCATCGGGCGATCGGCCATTCCAGTCCAATGCACCAGAGGGCTCGAGGGATTGCAGTGGGGCCCTGCCCCCATCGCAACACCGCACCCCACCACCTCCCCCCCTGAGATAAGGCAGCACGTACGCGTAGGGCATGGGGCGGGGCGAGGCGAAGCCGGAGAGCGAAGGAATCCCAATCCCTCCTCCTCCTCCTTTGTGGAGGACTGGGCTGGACTGGGCTGGACTGGACTGGACTCGCGAGCAGGGAGCGACGTTTTATAATCTGTCTATTCTTTGTCACCTCCCTCCCTCCGTCGACGAGTCTCGACGCCACTCCTCCTCCATGAACCATCGCATGAAAAATCGCCGACAAGAACCGCTCGCTCGACTCCCGCGCCGACACCACCCTCGCATTCACCACTCGACTCACCGCTCATAACACTTTCTACGACATGCCAACAACGAGACCTCTGCTCTTCTACTCCTGCACCACACTACTAATGTCACCTTCCCGGCCAATCGCATCTCATCCCCGCATCCCCTCGCATCCCATCTCTTCTGTCCCCATCCCAGTGCTGCTGCTGCTTTCCGTTTGAGTTCTGTTTCTGACTTCACTATTTGTAAAACGACATTTATCGTCAGGCAGGCAGCCAGCCAGCCATCGCTGTGGGGTGTCAGTGCGCATCAGACTGGGCCTTCATGCTTTGTGTCGGATGGACCGAGGGGGGAGTTTAGGGGACGAAGAATACCTGCCTGCCTTTTTGTTTATGCAGCAGCAGCGGTAGGCACCTCGCCCTCGCCGGTGGGCAGTGTGCTGCCTTGGGACTTGCAACCGTTGTTTGTTACCCTGGGTCTCTAAATCTGGCCCGGGGGGGGGGGGGAACTTTACAACTGTGAGCCTTGCCACCGAGAGAGAGGGGTGGAGGGGGCCAGCGTGTTACCTCCCTAAATAATAACCTCGCCTCCCAATACTTTACAACTGTGCGCCTTGGGCCGTGGCACCCACAGGTGGTGATCGGGTATTATATAAATATATATATCATGGCCCTAGCATTTATAAACCTTTACAACTGTGTATCCTTTGATCCTTACCGCCCAGAGTTTTTGTAGCGCTCTTTAATCTTTTCACGAGCGCTGCTCTTAAAGGGATTTGGGCAGCTTTTAGTTGTTGCCTTTCCCGATGGAAATCCTTGCTTCTGCACCACCTTCTCAACTTAAATCGGCAAAAGTTTGATTCCTAAAGTGTGCGTTGCCATTCTGTTGAATGTCATTCAAAATGATCGATCCCTATGTAATCACCCCCTTAAAGTACCAGATTCGGTACTTGGTACCTCCAAAAGTAGTAAATAAGGCTTTCGATCTTAAGAGCGTCGAAATCCACCGGAGCCTTCGCGCACAAGCTTGGTGCTCGAGTCTCCCTCCCCTCTAAACGATAAACATGACTAACAATAAATTTGCCAAGCATCTGCATGCAATGGTCTTTGATTCCCTTTTGAATAATAGCCATGATTCAGAATCTACTGCACAGTAACGTCAAAGTGCACGAATGCGATTCTCTTGTACAGATCCAATGATGAACCTACCCCCTCCTGCTCATCTATTATAACTGTATAATACGCCCGTGTATTGTGCTGCTGCTCCGCCAGTACTTTCTCCCTCTTGTAAAATCCATTACCTTCGTAAGCGCACTTCGCTTTCTTTAGATGGCGACCAAGTACTCGCCTTGGTGCCAGACTGGGACATGGACAAAACGTTCCAAGGTTCGTTGGGTGAAGGCTAAGATCACCTTCCATTGGTCTGGTGGTTGGAATCGCATTGCGCGTAGGCCCATCGAAGGATGCATGCAATCGACGATGCATAATAAATAGTGCTTCCCCCTTCCCATTCGAGTCCATCGAGACGCCAATTGAAGAGTTTTTCTTCTACACAAGTTTTCAAGCAACTCCAGAGAATCACGTGATTTCCAGCATCCTTGTATAACAATGTCTTCAAGTTAAATATAATTCCTTAAGCGACACTGAGCACATTTTAATAATAGTCTCCACACCTCTCAACCTTACAAATCTTTGATTTCTTAATTTTATCTCCTATAGCTACGTTGCTGATTTGAATTTGACTACGTAGGTGAATAAACTACTGTACCACTATGCAATATTTATACAAAAAATATGTATAATGCATGTGTGGTTTCTCCATCCACATGCATATATATTACTCACGTTTGAGTATCAAGTACATAGTACTTTACATGTTTGGAATGCACCGTACAGCTATCCAAGATGATAGAATTATGCATCATGCATTCAACTAAATGGTTACACATCCTACATAACATAGTATCTAAGAGTATGTGATCATCCATCCATCCGCCTCTTTGGTTTTTCAACGAGTGGAACAGTATAGTCTAAAACCTTCCCGATGTATGCGATAATCTTTTTATTGAGTTTAATTGTAAGCTTTTCTTTTCTTGTATAGATTCAATCACATAAATAAGACTAATCCACATAATCCATATATGTTTGTTCCCATTCATGATAAAAATGTCAAAATCAAATCCTCTGTAAGATGTGCAAGACATTATTGCTTTATCTTAACTTTATTGTGCAACATAAATTAAAAAAAATTTGAAAAATTTAACTTTCAATCATGAAATAATATTGAAAACTAAAGGTTTTCTTAATAAGATCCAAATTAAATTTTAAAACCTTTAAATGATATATCAGCACGACTTAATTCTATTTCAGATAATTAAAAATACATTTTCATAAAAATAAATAGTACCAAATTTTTATTTCAAAATTGAGTTTGATGAATTAGAATCTCTTTGAAACTGTTATTTAAATATCAGATTACATCATCGAATTTCTACTAGAATCAAATTTATTTCACGTTAATATTTTTTTCAAAAGGATATATATATCATAGAAGAGTTTTTTTTTTGCGGATTTAGAATAAGGAGATGATATTCATCTCTCTTAATTGAAAGTAAAGCCGAAAACTGTTGAGATGTATTAAGGATCATTAGTACCTGGGAACATCACTTGTGAACCTTCAAATCTTATTTGACTTCAGTTGACTCAGATGAAGCAATCGTGAAGCTCAATTTCAATATTAAAGAGATCTATTTCTTCTCTTGACTTCAATCTTTTGATGACAATTTCGATTCCTCGGACATTTTCGTTGTTTGAAGATTGTTTAAAGAACACATCAAAAGGAGGATGAGGTCAAAGAGGAACGAATAGGAGTCCAATACTAGCGTGACAGTGAAAAGACAGGGTCTACAAGCCTGTATGGGCAATGTGCATAGCCCGGGCGCATGCCCAGCTCTTGAATACCACTCAAGCGAACTGAGTTAATTACTCTTGTTTCTTCTGAATGCTTAGCGGGACCACTCATATTAATGTGATAAGTTACGATTTTCTCAGAAAGAGAAATTGTGAACGGAGGAAAATATCCAAAATTACGAGAAGACAACATACAGGTATATGCATGAAATCAAAGGGATAAGATGATGATACAAAGTATGACAGTGATAAATATATTTAATTTCTTTTAGTATATAGACGATATCTTAAAGATAGATTTGCATAATGCAAACCATCACCTAGTTTTATTGGACTCATATATAGCGTATATGTACACGTACCCTTCCACCTACTAGTACATGAATATAAATAGTAGCATCATGTGGATTGCATCAACTAGTATTTTGTATAGATCAATAATTACACGTTATCTAAAGTAGGCTATGCAGTAACTGAAGCTATTGAAACCTGGGTCATATGCTATAATAAACTATTGGGTAATTTCTTTTATGTTATCAACAAAAAAGATAAAGTCTTTATATAACCCTATTCTTGTACATGTTAGCCAAAATCGCTTAATGGATACCTTTTGCAATGTGAGGAGTGTTATAAATAGTTCACGACAGTATCTATAGCAATGAAATGATCGGATGACAATGACATTTGGTTCGGAGGAACCAAATGTACGCATGAGCCAACCTTGAGTCCAAGTTAAAATATTAGATAATCTGTAATAGGCACAAACTTTGACTTATTGCGAGGTTCACAGTTTCTCATGCCGTAGTACAGGTAAAGTATAGCTACCTACGAGTATATATATTTGTAGATAAAAAACTTGCCTTCCCAACGTGCAACATCTTGTGATGCCGTAGTGAACACAATATCACTGATTGAACCCTGTATTGTAGCTACGCATGATGGTAGGTATACCATACCTTCCCATATGGCAACAAGTTATACAGACCCGAGCTGGATATCATCATCTCATGAGCATTGTCCATCTCTTGTATAAAACTCAAGAAGTACTGCACCTCGAGGTGTCTCTAAATAAATGTATGTGTACAAAGTACAATTACATAAAGAACTCGGAAAACCATGTACACTATTCGAGATGAATGGAGCAAAGTGTTCACATGTACGATGTGTGGTAATCTTCCCATCAAATTTGCTGTATTACAAGGTTCCCCATTGTTCTTGTTGTTTACATGGTTTGGGTCTACTCATTCAAATACGGATGGATGGAATGATGTTAGCAGCGGTCTTCTCGCCAGCTTGGGGAAGAGTTGAGCTGCAACTTGAGTCTCGACAGTGAGCAAAAGCAAAGGGAAATGTACGTTCTGTCCTCGGTTAGAAACTGGTACGTACGTGGAGATAATGGTAAAACATCATAAAAGAGGTCATATAATAGCGCTCGGTCATAAAGACAAGGATGACATGTTATTTATGAAGCAACGCGCACGTAAGACGCAGCAGCACCAGTGCATTCATGAAAAGCCGGCGCCCGCGCCGCTATAATTTCCATCTCTTGGTTCGTGGATTTGCTCAGCATCAGCAGCCTGCTGCTGGAGCTCATGGCCGAGTACAACGCTCAGGCTGTTGTTTGTATTGGATTGATGCTCTAATTTAGGACTGTAGAGCACCTCAAGGAATTAGGGTTCCGAATGAAGACATGACGGCAGTTGGGAAGTGCCGGTGTCAGTCCTTAAACTGGAGTCTGCACTTCGCAGCTGACGTTAGCACGTGTTGCGAAAAGACGTGTACTTCGAACTGCAGAGTTGGAGGGAAGTGATCCTCGGGGACGGAGCTGTGCACTGCGATGGCGATGCTGCATGAACGGAAGAAAGAAGCAAGCAAAAGAAGGAAGGTGATGCGAGGGGGAGACCTATTTTCTAAATCTGACGCTAAAGACGTGTGCTTACAACGTAAGAGCCCGGCGAGTGCAGAGGACAAGAATAACCCTATGAAAGGAAGGAAGGAAGTAAGGAAGGCGGTGAAGAAGTCAATTTCCAGCAAGAGGAATTTATTAACGCTCTGACAAAACGTGGAAGATATCCTTCGAACGAGCCCATGAGCTCGTGGAGAAGAAAGAACCTTGGAAAGAAACTATTACATCGAGAGTCAAGGCCCCGGCATTTCGCAGCACCTTATTAACCTAGCCTCTGCAAATATACCATGATTTGGGGAAAAGTTATTCCAACAGTGGGTCTCGTATTTCGTGCCAAATGGAAATAGAATTCCTTGGCTCTAATTTGATCAAAGATTCAAGGTATCTGGATCGAGATGATTACATCGACTTTTGGCAGGTTTAACTATGTACGGTTCTATCGTGTGGAAGGAAACGAATATGTTAAGGCAGTTCTTAAGCACTTATCGAGCACTCAGGCCCGGAATTACGTGTTTTCTGCGCGGAATAAAACTTCCCCCCGGTAAGTAACGAATATCAAACTGTTGGATCTCGTCGTGGTGGCATCCACAAACTGAGCCCTCTGAGTTTCATCAGTTGGAACTTGGAAAAAACGATCAATCAACTGCTCTACGAAGGCCTGGATTACGCATTATCTGCGCGACTTGAAACACTAAGGGAGCAGAAGAGTCGATGAAAGTGATAGACCTCCTTGAGATCTCTTCCAAAACTCGGCTTTACGATCTACAGCAGCTGGAAACAAAGGATTGATCGATTGACGATTCATTTGATGGTGCATAACTGTTGTTGCGTACGAGCCAAGAGCAATCGCATGGAGAGTAGCCCGATAACCTCCGAACGACAACCTGTCGTTTCGGACTCTCAACGCTGGCTATTTGCGGATCTTGAAACCGTACACAAAACCCCAGATCCCAATTCTCGTGTCCCGAGTCCTGACCGGGCTTTGATGGGATGTGATTGCAACAATTCACGTCCGTTCGTGCGCTGCTTACTGCTCTCATGAGACCGATATGAAATGTGAAGCTGTTGGCTCTACCTTTTACGACGGCGCTCGAGCATTACCGTATGAGTATTATTACGAGTGGACTTTCTTGAATTCCAGTGCCTTTCGAGCTTATCCACATCAACAGGCCAGAGGCAGACGCTCAGCAGGCTCAGGCTCGGAGGGTGAGCACTGAGAATAGCAGGGCTAAACTGCAATTCTCCTGTTCTAGCTCCTGTAGCGTCTCCCTCTGTCTCTTCGCTTTACTTTACTTTGCCACCTGACGAGTGCTCGAGTCAATCGACTACTACTGACCCACTCACGGAGCAGGGCAGTGCAGACTGTCGCTGCGGGTGCGTTCTCTCATGGTAGGTCGGTACGCTACTTCTATCTTTTAAAGAGCTAGCTCTAGAGAAAGCTCATGAGAAGGGCACTACAACCACGACACAAGTACTAAAACTAATACTTCTACCATCTTGATACTGTACACTCGTCCGTGGGCTGAATCTCAGACATACAACAGACAGGCAGAAAGAAAGGCAGAGACTGGGAGACAGACTGCGACAGGGACGAACGTGTTACGGGTCCGAGAGTCTTAAAAAGTAACGTCTGCCAATTTCTGTGTTAATTTCAACTCTTCAGTGCGTTGGATGGATGGTGGGAAAGTGAGGATCTCGTTTCTCCCGGGTGTCATGAGATATGCCTTCCACCTTTAGACTAATGGAAAGTGGGAAGTCAGATATTCAAAATTGCGATGAAGATAAGTTCGATGGGGTCTATTGTTGGGTCAGTCATGAGTAGCCCAAACAGAGTAAAAATAAAGAGGAATCTACATCCTACGGCCTACGCATACACGCATTCTTTTCGCTTTTCGGTGTTTTTACTGACCTTGAAGTTTGCAATCAGATCTCGCTCTCCTTTCACATAGCCTGTACACACTATGCATCGCATGGGCTGGCCTGCAGCATAAGCAGAAAGGTAGCCTCGTAACAAATCGTCGTACGAGTAACTGCTTCTGTTTCACAACCTCTGTACAGTGGTATTACCCCAACTTTAGTTTCTCTCATGTCTGTGCGTTCAACTCCTTTTCCAGCTTTTACTTTCTCGAATCCGAGATATGCTTTGGTCCATATGGAGATACATCCAATGTCAGTTCCGTTCTCTTGCCCTGTAGCATTCGGAAGCTTCGGAATTTAAGACAGCCGCGTACATGTACAAGGAAAGGCTACTTCTAGCTAAACCTTGGCATTTACATCCAGCCTAGACGTGGTTGCTTTCGCTTAGCTGTTAACCAACCCTGTTCACTTATATTCCTGAGCACTTGACTCATTCATGCAACAAACAATCAAGAGTAGAAATTCGCTCAACTGTAGTGTGTATCTCTTTCTCTTTGAATGAAAAAAATAAGACCTGGTCAAGCACGCCTCATGCACATGCTCTTGTCCGCAAATGCAACACTCAAGGCGCGTAATGAGTGTAAAGAAACGCAGAGACTAAAACAGGTGGAGGGAGGACCAATGACCAGGTATGGGGAAGAACATCTGAAAGGGCCAGCAAACTCGATTTGAAGACGGAACAAAATTTGATTTCTTTTCACGAATTTTTTATCAGAATATGAGCAAAAGAATCTCATCGTTTGATCTCAATGTTCTGAACCTTATGCGGATGGAGAAAAACATGGGCAACATTCTTCGCTGGAAATAAAATGAAAACAATCGAGGCGTAAGTCACACACACAAGGCTTAAATCGGAAATCAAGATAACACGAATCGATCCCGACCGATGAAATATTAGAAGACGGCAGTGTCTACCGTATGAGTTCCTTGTGGTCACTTCCAAATTCCATCGGTAATTCACTTCTATGTAGGAGTGAAACCCTTTTTACCCACTCACTGGTCACTACGTGAACTTCTTAGACCCATCCACCACTACTTTTGGGCCCAACTGAGGTCCCTTGTCCAGGACGTCCCTAACTATGCCAAAGTCACGGAGATTAAGGGCAAGAGATGGGCTACAACTATTAGGAGATTGAAAAATTGGAGATGGGTGTCATAATGGGGGATCAGTGAGACTTCTCGGAAATACAAGGGACTCCGAGGCGGGTTTAACTTCCTGAGAACCCATTGTAAACTACGGTACGATATACATCGGCTGTCTCTGGCAGTTACTGAAATGCATTCCGACTGCCCATATTCGTCTACTGACTGTCGAATTTCGTGAAAGATGTGCTTTTTGAGCCATGACCTCCAAACCTTAAGCTGCAACTGCCCCAAGTTCCAACTGAAGGGTACAGTTTGTTTCGTCAGCAGTGGGTCCAAGAAACTGGATGGGCCCTACAAAACATACCACTAGATTAGCATAGACCAATATGTGTATAGAAAGAAAGAGACCTACAAGCAACTAGCACAGAAAAAATCCACCAATACTATGTATAATTACCTGGGCTACGATAGCTGTCTTCCAGAGCCCAATTGTCTCTTACAGAGGCAAATTTTAGGAATGGAGCACCTGAATAAGGAGAAAAGCAGAGACCAGTTAAGCCTCCGTTGTTATTCGTTTGTTCTTCTCCCATCCCGATTTGAGATTCGTGACCATGTATTTACTACCTTTGGACTGACTCAATTGAACGTATTGAATCTTTCCAGTTGAAGAAACTATAGACATACAAGAAAAGATTCTTAGAAGTAAACCTTGTCAAAATTTATATTTTGACAAGGTTTACTTCTAAAAAACTTTTCTTGGCTATAGCGGATATACAAAACATGACTTCCTAAGCTGCTAAACTGGTCGTTACGTATTGATTTACGAAAATTTTCGACTGGACACTGAGAAGTTTCTTAGAGGATAGACAGATGAATCTTACCCTCAAGCTCAACCATGGCCTTCTTTATGACAGGTTTGTTCTTTCCTGGGTTCCACATTATCAGAAAAAGAATCAGTTGAAAACTTTGAGTAACCTAACTGCTTGAAATATTTCAATCAAGGAATTCCGAATATCCGTTTTCTAATTCCTGAAGCTCTTGGTAACCTTTCGACTTTCCTGTTGGTGCTCAAGGAACCTTAATCCTCGACACAGCTTGCAGTCTTCGAATAAAATTAGAGATATTGTACAATCTACTATGGCTATGCTCAACTAGTTTGGCCATCCCTTTGTTCATGTAATATCGATACTCTGCTGCCCAAGACACACCGCAACGTCTTATGTCCTCACAGAAGTCATTGATACTAAACGGCAACAGTAAGCGTCATCCATACGTACCCTTCCTTCGCTCAACGTCCATCAGTTCAGTCAGTGCTGTTCCACCCACAGTCCATTCTGTAGATGGTGCAGTCAAGTTACCGACCTGTATTGACCGACACAGAAACATATCGGGTTAGAATTTTTTGAAGTCGACCGATCCTTAGAAACCCCGACAGAGATCGTCGTTACTGTCGCATACATACAAGACCGTAACATACTCCACTCTATGGGACTGGTAGGAGTAATGCTCAAAGTCATACACCGGAGATGGCTACAAGTTAGGTTTCAGGTATCCCGGCTAACAAATTCATGAATATCTTACATTAAGCAAGTAAAAGAAGAAACTTGTACACTCCAGCTATACTCTACTGGCATTGCATCACAAGAGCAATCAAAATTTAACATATACCGAGGCAATCAGACCACTGTGCCCGGATTGCAAAAGTGCTCCCGCAGCGAAGCCCAGTGCGTAACAGTAAGTTGCGTCAAAATTAGTTGGCATGCCACATCGCCCTTCATATCTGCGACAGCTCGTTGCAGTGTCATACCAAAGCGATAGCATGAAAGAAACGAACAACATTCCTCTGGAAAGCGAATAAGCAGGCCCTACTAACGAACAAGTTCTCAAAACAAAATTTCTCGATTAATAACAAATCAAATGTGTGTCAACGATATAATAAATGAAAGGAACCAACCCATGTCAGTCTTCATCACAGAAGATCATATGTCTCATGTGCTCGTCCAGTAACTTGTCTAAAGATCTGCAAACGTACCCGAAGAAATGAGATATCCCAGTGAAATTGCCAGAGTATGAGCTTTCATGTTTCCTCTGCCCAAGTTCAGCTTCCACCATAGTAATCAACATCTTTTCAGTCTCAATTCTTGCCACCTGCACTAGTCATAGACAAACTTCGGCTGAGACAATGTTACACTTCTCATGAACAAATTCCTTGTAAATATCTCCACAGTCAGTTACCATAACTGGAAAGGAGTGCCACTTCACTCAAGTATTTGCTACTTTGCTGTGGAGCAAGTGCTTTGCAAACTTCTAGCTTCTGCTCGAAGAGAAAGCTTGATTTCACATGTCTTCGTATCTACCTGGACGTTTCCATGTGGATCACGTTCTAGTAACAGCTCCTCTTGAATACTGTGAGGAAGTAAGTCAAACAGTGCCCTGGATGGAGGTGTAAGTTTATGTTTCCAGTGGCCCTCTGGATCACACGTACTGGTGGCCAGAATCTCATTAAGTTCGGCAATCAAATGTTGGATCTGAGAAGGCGCAACATAGAATTAGAAAATCTGTTCGTTTGGCTAGAAGTTTGCTGCATAGTTGAAGTGTCAATTATATCCGCAAGCTAGCACAGGTTGAGAATAAAAATGTTGAAGAATTTGGCACAAAAGATGACATTAGAGAAGCTCATGGGATGCTTCCTAATGATCCAGAAAGCATGACATGGTTACCTCAGGAATGAAATCAATTAAGCCTTCTGGGATGAGTATGACCCCATAATGTTTCCCTTGTTCGGCTCGTTTGCATACCAAGTCAGTTATGGTGTTTACCACCTGCCGCAAAGTTTGCTGGTGAAGTGCTACCTGAAAAAAACAAAGAAGAAACAAGTTTCACCAAGATGTACTAAATTTTATTCCAAATCCGTTGCAAGAAGTTCCAAACATGCCTTCGTTATAGCCCACGAAGAAGTCTTTTGACTAATCAAGTCATATAGTTTTGAAATTGCCTACAGCTGAGATATCTATTCGTGGTAAGGCTATACCTCTTCTCCAATAACTGCAATGTTAGGGTGCGTTTGAAGAGCGCACTCTAAGGTGATGTGTGAAGCAGCTCGACCCATGAGTCGAACAACTGTAAAAAGATATCATTTTTTGCAACGTTAGGATTTGAAAACACGTGGAGACCATTAAGTATGTGGAGACCTACCTACTCCTAGATAGATATGTATATCTGTGACAAAAGTTAACAACAAAGTACAAGCTCACGAAGATCATTCATCCAATGACATTCAGACTCTGAATCTTCGAACGAAAGACATCTATCCATCTCAAAGCTGTTGAAGAAATATACGTACAGTGATAGTATTTTCCAGTAGAGCGTGCGTCCACCATTACATTTCCTATCATCTCAGCATATATCTGCGGTTTAAAAGACAACAGAAAGTTGGAAAGCTTGAATTTTACAATCTCTGAAAAATGTAAATGTGATGTAAACTTGAGCTCAATGGCAGTTATAGAACCTCGATGTAAGCATCGCAAGAAGATGCATATGTAAGTCTTATGGAGATCGATGATACCTTGCAAGCTGTGTCGAATCCAAAGCTGATAGGAACATGCTTGCTTTTCAGATCGCCATCGATAGTTTTAGGACACCCTATGACGTGTGTCTTCACTTTGTTGGCTCTGTAGATCCAAGAATCACAGGTGTAAAATGGATCAGTTATTAGGAAAAGAAAAGAATCGACTATTCACAGAGAAAAATGATGTTTCTGAATGTATGATATCTCGCAGTTGTCAATGAAAGTAATAAGGTCAAAGAGCAACAGCAGAACGCCGGCGTTCGCAAGGGCTTTTCTTGCAAGTGATCCGAAACAATTCCGGATCAGTACTAAACTACTCGCCGACCATTTCATATGCCTTCAGCACACAACAAAAACTTCACAATCGAAATATGGTTATTGCGACTGTGATCAGATCAAAGGCATGTGCCAACCTCTATCCACGCTGCTCATACCCTCTTATAACAGACACAAAACGTCAGTGGAGAGAAACAGAAAATTCTCAGAATACTGACCACAGAGAGACAAGGAGCTACTTTAGTAAAAGAAAAAGAAAAAAAAAAGAAAAAAAGAAAAATATATCCAAAGAGGTGCGTCCAGTGCCCTGGAACATCTTCAAAACTTAACATTCTAACTGAGACTTTTCCTACAAAACCAAGTTCTAGATGAGACGGTCTATTAACAAGAATTGAAAGTAATGATCAAGAAAAGGAAGAGCTGCAACTCCTTGTTTCAATAGGAGATGCGCTGCGTGTAGTCTCTGAGTTTCTTGAACTATCTATTTAAGCTTGAAGCTCAAAGCATTCTTGTACTCCACTGACAGCATGCTCCATGTCAGCATAAATTTCACGCCTAATCGCTTACACTCACTAACAAATGCGATCGTCAGATATTGGAAAAACTACAATACACTAAAGCGTTTAAGGGCTGACATTATTAAACTGAGGACGAGAAGCGACAATTTTAGTTAAAGGAAAGATGGAATTGATTATGGAAAGGAAATATCCGCATAGACGACAAGAAGGTAATAATTCGAGGACTGTTCAACAAAAGCCATTATACCGTCGAATCGAACCAAGACCAAAGCCAGTCACATACACCAGTCCATGACCGGATGTTTGGGTGAGCAGAGACTTGTTTAAGCACATTCTCTGTTCTCGAGTTTCTCTCAAGCTTAGATTGGATGGACTAAGTAATTGGAGTCGACAACATAGCATGGTGTCTACAGATCGCAACGCAAAGTCCTTGGTAACTTCTGCATAGGTGGATGGACATATATGAGCTCACTAGTTCTTACCTGAAGCACTCTGCAAGAAGACAGGCGTTCGTATTGGAGTCATCTCCGCCTATAACGACAAGTCCATCCAGGTCCAACTTGTTGACGGTATCCATGGCTTGCTTGAACTAATCATCCGGAAACCAATATGTAATATGGATGTCCCGACAGAGACAAAAACAGGTTATCACTTACTTAATCATGTTAAGAGATTCCCTTTAATCCTCCAAAAGTGAATTAACTTTGCCGTGGTGGTGCCTTTCTGTGCATACCATCTACGAGAGCCGCTTTTGCATCAACCAAATATGGCAATGAACAAGCAAAAATCAGAGGGAGTTAATTCAGAGAAACAAGTGCTCAACGTGGTGAAAACTTTTCCAAAGACTGACGATGGCATTTTCAGCTATCAGTTGGGAAAGAAGACAAGTATTCTAATAAAAAAGACCGAATCTTCGAAAAGACTTGTTTCGTGGATAGTATACTGTTTATATTCCTAGGCAAAGAGATACAAAAGGACAGCCGACCTTCTCAGATATCATCCTCGTCCTACTCATAGATGGTAAAGTACCTGATCAGGAGTCTCAATCTTGTCTCTCCCACTGCAAATGATATCGAAACCACCCTACGCACCCACACACACAAAAATTTGAATGTTCAGTTGGAGGACAGGTTCCATTTTGCGGCCTTCGTCACATATCCCAACGATTTCGCAAGTAATTCAAAAGTAATAGCAGCTCAAGCGGGTATCATCAAAACTTAGACAACCAATACCTCCATCTGCTTTTAGAGCCTTCAGATATAAGTATATACTTCAATGCACGTCATAGATAAAGCAGGAAATTGGTGAGAAAACAGTTGAAAACTAACAGCATGAGAAGAACATGGGACATTTGCACTTTAGAAAAGGGCAGACAAAGGAAAATAAAAAACCAAAACTAGGAGCTCATGAGATTGCTCAATCGTTCGCAGTTTCTTGTGGATGTCTAAATTTGTACTCAAATAGTATCTACCATGTCGTAGCTGAAGACCGTAGAGCCCACCATGGCCATAGTCCTGGCTTGGCGGTGCTGGTGTAAAAAAAAGGGAAGAAAGCAGTGATCCGGGTTCAAGATGGAGGAGGTAAAAAAGAGAGTGGAATGAAAAAGCTTTCTTATAATGGAATTTTGCCCCATGAATGGGATCCATTCGGAGCTTCTGAGTGTGAACCAAAAAACCCTTCGCTAACTCACCACGCTGTAGAGTCTGGATACTTTGAACTATAGCCGGCACCACAGCTGGGTGGTACAGAGAGGTGGATAATGGAATGCGGGAAAAAAAATACTTTACAGATGCTTGGTGCATTATGATGGATCTAATACTGAGACTAGCACAACGTAACACTCAGACACAGCACCGACACTTTTCAAAAATAAGACTGTTAAGTCTGACAAGGAATAAACAACCACAGATGCTTTGCTATGGCTAGACCATGCGACAGATTAAAGCGCAGCGAAAACATATATTGTCCGGCGCAGCCTTAATATGGTCCCTGTCCCTCTATATTGCTAGCAACATCAACAATCTGCCAGCAAGTGTCACAAAAGGACCTTCTCTTACCATATTCGGAGGGGGGAAATCAATTCACCTGATTGCGATAAGGATACAAGAAGTCAGCAGTAATCTCCACGTATTTACACTTCATGATTCCTGCGGGACCACCTTGAAATCCATACAAAATGCTTCCCGCTGCATGCTCTTGCAAGTAATCTGCAGATGATCATGTATGTTCCTGTGAGAAAACAAGTGCATTCCCATATGTAAACATCAACCACATTCGAAGGACGCTGCCTTCTGTACAGACGTCTTCGCGATGGTTTGCCATAAGGTTAACGCTCCACAAAAGATTTTGGAAGCTTATATAGGAATGTGTAGATTCATACCATAGATGCCTGCTATGACATTGTGACCTCCAGGAGCCTGCCCGCCAGACAACACCACTCCAACTTTGAGTTTCTTTTCTGTGAATGTGGGTTTTGCACTCGGAACCAACTCTACATGTGGCTGGCCGTACAAGTTTGGAAAGAGTTTCTGAATTTCCTCTGCAGCACATCACCACCATCAGTACCCCAGCTTCAAGTAAGAACTTCCATATGGTACTGGCTTCTGATCATGAATGCGACAAGAAAGATGTTCCACTATTTAATGAATAGTACTCAGCCGTGCATCTGCTTGTACTCTTAAGCTTGAAACTGTGCCTGACTGATTTACCACTCACTGAAAACAAGGATATTTCTTCTACATCAGTTGCGATAAAATTTGACCATAATTGACTCGACTCTAATTGAGCTTCAGTACACACAGTGCTCATGTCTCAAGACATGGATGCAGACTGGGCGTTGGTATCACATATTCGTTAGAAAGGTTCATGGCAATCGAATTGCTCCAGATAGAACCGTACTTCTAATGCTCGCCAGAAAGCAGTACACGGCGATTTTGCTGAATTCTGATTTCGTTGTGAAGGACATATCGGCCATTGTACGAGCGGTGATTTCTACGACACGAGATAGGATGCCTTCTCAAAATGAAAAAACCGATGTACATTACCTTCCTATCTTGCACATAATTCAAAAACATGAGGGGAAAAAAACACTCTTTTCAAGTGACGCACAAACAGCCCTTGTTTCAAGAAACTACTTGTGAACCCCCGCATCTGTTCCCAACTTCCATGAAGGATTGTGGTCGCATTTGTAAGCTTCGCTGATCAGAGTGGATAAGCAGCACCAAAAGCCACCTCAGCATCACATATTACAGTAGCTAGACAGCCCGCACCAAGAAAGTTTCCGACTGCAGTATCCTACGGCGCCTCAATAATATAAGTTCATGTCATCGATCAGACTGTAAAGTTCAATACCTGGATTTCCGGCGGCAGAGGTTGCGGGCCCATAGCTAACTTGAAAGGGACTATGGAAAACGGAAGGTAGGGGTGGAATGTGATCCAGCCGACTGCTCTGAAGTACGCTGTAAGCAGCTACATCCCTTTGCTTCCTTCCACCAGCAAAGTTATTGGCTTCCTTCGCGTTGCCCACCATGACCGTCATACTTCAAGATGCTTTCTCCACTTACTCGTTTACGATTTCCAGAGAACCTTTCGAAGTAAAGTGCCCCACTTAGACTCCCTGCAAACCAGTCATTAATTAGCTTGTAGATTGTCAAGCACAATGTGAAAAGTATCAAACAACTTATCGCGCTTCGTGCAGAAAAGACTGGAACAATTTTCTTGCTCGTGCATTCAAATCGTACAGAATCGCAATCTTTCTTCCTCGCTTACCGAATTAAAGGGATGAACGAAACTAATGCTGATTGTCGGGCGCAGTCAACTAAGGAATGGTAAGGCAACGGGAGATTCACTTCTCATTTGCTGTATTTCCCGAATCGCTGATAATAGTACGCCAGGCCCCGCTGCTCTCTCCGCGGCCCAGCGACTTATACGCACTGCTGCTGATTGTCAAAGAGATGTGGTGAGAGGGAGGATCGAGGAAACAGCGAATCTGCTGCGTTTGATTCCGGAATCAATTGCTGAGCTTTCACAAAATTCATTGTCAAAATCGACGACGCAATAGTAAAGAGTTTTGTTCCAAATTTTCTTGGTGTATCCAAACATCACACGTGAAGACGACTACTCCCATCCGGCAGCAAATTCACCTACTCGTCCGGTAAATCTTGTCATGCTATCCCTGTACCCACCAACCACGCATCTCCTAGTGAGAGCGACCTTCATGCCAAATCAGCATATGCTGTCTTGCAGGGCCCACTGAAAATCCGAAACCGTGTTGCCCATGCTGTTTTGTTTTTCTGAAATAATACGATTAATGGTAAATGGTAAATGGAATAATAAAAGCGTAAATTACTACTTATTCTCATGATGTGTTCGTTCATATCAAAATTACATTAAAAAATAAATATTGATAAGTCAAAGTTTCTCTATACATGAGAGGGTTGTTATCAAGAATTTGAACGAACTTTCTGTACTCCTTACTTCTTATGGGGAGGTAAACTGAAAAATTTTGACAACTTATCTTCAATATTTGAACGTTTTATTCGTCGTGTAAAGTACTATGTGATGTGAGTACTATTCAACAGCGTAGTTTTATTTGTTCAACTCGTTCAACCCCTACGCTGATTACTTGTGAAGATGTGGAACCCTTCTGTGCATGAGATGTGAACCTCATGCAAAGAAGTTCAAATCGCCTAAAAAAGCGGAGTACTTGAAGATTATATTCTGAGTTTACTTCATCAAAGTAGTCAACATAGGTATCACTCTCTTTGGGTTATTGTAAATGCATTTTTTAATCGACATACACCACTTCTTGTACCCTTACCATTTACCATTACACAAAATAGTAGAGCAATATATATTTGATAAATATTCGTTTGTTGTTGTATGCAGCTCTAGAGTGTTGGATTTTTGAGATGCAATTATAAGTATATTTCATTCTGATGTTATTCATACAAACCCTACTTGTTCATTTGTTACATCCTTGTACAACTTGATGAATTTTCTCCATCCTTTTATGTCAGGTAATATTTGAAATTTCAAATAATTTACATGTTAACCTATTCACCCAGTTTATTTGGTTGGAAATTCATTTTTATTATATAATTATTTAAAAAATTCATGAAAAAAAATAAAAATGAAGTATTTTTTATTACATTTATGTAATAATATTTTTTCATGTAATATTTTAAAAAAATTTGAACTGATAAAAATAGTTTTTTGTTATGTATAATTATATGATAAATTTATAAATATTTATAGGTTTGGATAAATATTTGAACATTTTAATCTTATATCAAATAATACATGTAATGAAACAATTTTCTATAATAATTTTATTTGAAATATACAAAATAACTGTTGGTTATCCAAACAAAACATTAATGTTGATAAATTCTCAGGCTATTAAACATATGAACATAATACTAGATTTAGGGTTTAGGATTTAAAATCTAGAATTTTATATCAAAGGTTAAGTCGTAATCTTTTGATCAAAATATTTGGAGTAGACATGAACAAGATGACTTGCATTGACCTGAATGAAGCAATGCAAGAGAGAGAATTGCAAGATGTATTCAAAAATTAGCAAAAGATAGATACATATCATTAGTCTAGGAGATAATGATCATGCAGATAAAACTGCGACAAGTTGCAAAGAGAAACATGTACTAGGAACATTGCACATTATGCTAAGCATAAAGAGAAATAATTCTTGGTGTGAGGGTCAAATGATTGTTTTAAGTTTTTTAGCCAATTAACCAAGAAACTAAACAAGATAGATCTAGATTACATTCAAATATGTTTAAATAAAAATACCAAACTCATTTACATGATGTTAACCACCCCTAAGTGATGGTGGGTTAATTGGATTTTCAGCTTAACTGTATGTGATTTGCTTTACAATTGGTTATGCGTTCAAGCCAAACTGTATGTGATTTCCTTTATTATTTAGCGTAGTAGTTTTATTGTAGATGTAATTAGAAATGCAAATACTTAGCGTGGCAAGTCTATTTATCTCATTAATCTTTTGTATGTGTTTTTCCCTTAACGTAATTAGAAGTCAAAGCCACATATCTTATGCGTTTTTTCATGTATGTAATATGTTTTATGAATTTTCACAACAATTGATTTTGTCAAGTTTGTAATCTAATCAATAAATTTACAACAATTAGTATTAGATCGTCGCGTTTTATATTATATTTTTGGTGTATTTTTATAAAAATTGATATTAGAGTGTCGCGTATCAGATTTGGTTGGTAGAGACTTTTTGTTGCGAATGTGTGGCTTCTATGTTCAAATTTGATTTATAGAGATTTTTTGGTCATAATGCATGACCTCTAGTGTTATGAAGGCTACGGAGTTTATTCTATGCTTAAGATGTTGTGGATTCAAGCTTAACATTTCTGCATATAATTCTGGTTTAGTTGCTTCAGTTGTGGAGTAAGAACAGCTAATCACCAGGCCTTTGTACATTAGGCATATGCCTATTCGTGCCTAATATAAGTATATTAGTCACACAGACGAAATGAAATTAGGCACGATTAGACATCATTGTTTACAAGCAATATGAGACGGCAGAAAAAACCTTCTTACTGTATCTATCAAATTCAAACTAAGTTTACAAATGAATGATGCAGTTTTAGCAAATTCTGAAGCATGGATTCTCTCTGAAAACATAATATTTCAGTGATATTATTTCTTACTTATTCTATCAAATTGAAACTAAGTTTACAAATGAATGATAAGAATGATACAGTTTCAGCAAGTTTTCAAACATGAACTCTCTCTAAAAACATAATATTTCAGTGATATTCGTAAGAAAGAATATCACTGAAATATTATATATAGAATCAGTAAGAAGAAATTGTATCCAATTCAAACTAAGTTTACAGATGAATGATACAGTTTCAACAACATCTGAAGCATGAACTATCTCTGAAAACATAATATTTCAGTGATATTACTTCTTACTAATTCTATCAAATTCAAACTAAGTTTACAAATGAATGATATAAATGATATAGTTTCAGCAAGTTCTGAAGCATGAACTCTCTCTCTTTGAAAACATATTCTTTAAAGTTTTATTGCTCAAGGTGCGCAACAAATCATATTGTTTACATTGGAGAAATACTTCTAGAGAAAAATCTGTCAATGACATCTTAAAAACATCTAAACTGAATTTCAACATTGAGAAGTCACTTTCAACAAGAGTTGTATTTGGAAACAGTGAACCTAATCCACCAACGAATTGTACTTAAAAATTGAAACGGCCTGATAAACGTGGGAGTGACCACGCATCCTCAAAAGAGCACTAATGATCACAGGAATCTATGGCTTCTCTAAAAGCCGAGACATTTTTGTACATGGTACACATCTTTGAAAATTGAGATCCAATTTTATCCATTGTAGAGGGAGACCAACTACAATCAAGATGAGACTTTTGTTGGATAATGAGACGGCTAATATCACGACCTTTAAGTTTCACTAATTCAAACGGATACACATGTGGACAGTCCATATCGCTCCTTGACCCGCATTCATCTTGCAATGCTACGCAGTACATAAATCCATCAACAATGTCAAATATAAGAAACGCAACATTCCAAAGAAATTCTTGCCGAATTGGTTCACTCAGACTGTTCACTGTAGTCAAAGCAAAATGCCCAAGATCTTAAATGAAGCTAGTGATGTCAATATAAGAAGCAATCCAATTGTTGCAGATGACATAAGCAGATTCGTCCACAGTTTCAATGTTGAAATTGCAAACTGCACTGATCTTGAGCAGTAATTCACCAATTCATAAGTTAACACGTGTTTGTTGTTGGCTAAGCGTCAACCGATGACCTTAGAGTCGCATCACCGTCGTATGTATAGCACTTGTGATGCTCCTTGTGACAGCATTTAGAACCCATCAAATATCACTGTTAGGTTGAGATGCGCGCCGAGAAGAACTCACTTGTATTTCAAGATAATGTGCACTGATTTCGTGACAATGATCATCGAGCTAGCTTGTAGCACTAAACATGGCGTGCCATCTAGTTGTAGATGTCTTGGAACAAGTTGATTTCATCTTGGAAATAAGCTTCTGTTGTCGACGCAGGTGCGAGATCATAGATACTAGTGTCGCATACCATGCACGTCCATCTAGCTTCAAGTATGCTACCTGTAGCGGAATGTCCAATTGATGAAGAATACACCACACGGATGAATCCTTCCAGTGAACATTATTGAAGACGCGTGATAACACATGCAACATGACCAGTCATGTTTCTAGCTCCATCTGACGATGCGCCAATTAATTGATTTTACCAGCTGGGAGAGAGTACATCAAATAATTTGCACAGAACTTCAAATTGTGACAAACCCGTATGAGATCCGTAACGGAATAGATATAATATGCAAATTATATAGTTGGCGTCGTCAAACAAAATGAGCACGAATATCATATATTATATATATATTATATATGAGCATATAATATATATATATATATATATGTATGTATGAAGTACCCATGCAAGTTGAGACATCTAGAGCAATTGAAAATGCCCACACCATACGTAAGATATTAGAATTGATCTTAAAATTGGCGCTGCATTGTACGCGTACAAATGTAGCAATTTTCAAATCATTCATCCCACCTATTTGGTGGGATGACCATAGCAACTTTCTTGGTTGCCTAAAGAGTCAATGCAGTATGTCTGAAACTAATACCAATGCCATTGTATTTAATAGCAAGTTGATATGTCATTGGAGTTTTGATAATCACATAATAGTGACCTGTGTGACTATTTAGCATGAATACACGCATTGCATTCTCATAGATTTGGCCTTCAAAATCTTTGGAATACCATAACATTTCTCCTATGATAACCTCAACTATGTTCTTCTCAATGTTGTAGACTACATGGTCAGTATCCTTGTCAAGATGTGACAGGATTGTGTTCACGAAGGTAACATCAATGTCAAAGTAAATCATCTAACTTTGTGTAGAGAGGGACTGATACTCTTTCCAACGATTCGGATGCTCACTTTTGAGATGAATGCGGTAGTTTTTGAAACAAAATGCTAGACCAAACGTCTTCTTTGTGGTAGCTTTTTGA